TCTCTAAACTTTCTGCTTAATACATCAACTACTACATTAGCATTTAGCCTTGCCTAGGCAATAATGAATGTCAAGAATATAATGCTTTATCAATTCCAGCTATCTTCTCTGTCTTTTCAATTCCTTCTGTGTGAAAAAGTATTTTAAATTTTTATGGTTTATGAATTTTTCGCATCTCACACCATATAGGTAATATCACTAAATTTTTAATGCAAAAATAACTGCAGTCAATTCTAATTCATCAGTCGGGTAACTTTTTTCATGTGATTTTAACTGTCTGGAAGTACATACAATCACCTTTTTATTCTACATCAACACTCAATCCAACTCTTTTTGAGAAGCATCACTAAATAATTGAAATACCTCAGTTTCATATGGAATTGTTAATACAGATGCAGATGTCAAACACCTTTTTAATTCAAGAAAACTCTTCTCACATTCCCCATTACATTCAAATTTATTATTCTTCCAAGTCAATCTGGATAAAGGCAAAACATTTGAGGAGAGTCCTTTACAAATCTTCTGTAATTACCTACTAATCCCAAGAAACTTTGGACTTCAGTCACATTTGTTAGTCTTGGCCATTCCACCATTGCTTTTATTTTTTCTGGATCTATTGATATACCTTCTCCACTAACAATGCGCCCCAAGAATGAAATTTTCTTCTACCAGAACTCTCATTTAGAATATTTAGCAAATAATTGATATTGCCTTAATAATCCCAGAACAATTTTCAAGAGATTTGCATGCTCTTCATTTTTCTTGGAATAAATCAAAATATCGTCGATAAAAACAATTACAAATTAATCAAGTTACAACCTGAAAATTATATTCATCATATCCATTATATCCATTAATACTGCTGGGGTATTGGTTAATCCAAATGACATAACAAAAAATCATAGTGCCCGTACCTGATACCAAAAGCTATTTTCTCAATATCTCCTTTTTTCACTTCAAATGATAACCAAATCACAAATCAAATTTGGAGAAAATAGAAGCACTTGCTAATTGATCGAATCAATTATCAATCTTGGGAGAGGGTACTTATTTTTAATGGTCACCTAAGTTAGTTATATAATCAATACAGAGTCACGTCTAATCATTCTTCTTCTCGACAAACAACATGGTGCACTCCAAGGAGATATGCTGGGTTTAAGAAAGCTTTTTTCAATTAATTCTGCCAATTGACTTTTTAATTATTGTAATTCTTTGGTTGTCATTCTGTAAGGTGATTTTACAATTGGATTTTTTCCAGGTTGTATTTTTTTTTTAAAAATTCCAGCTCCCTTTTTTGAGACATCATTTCAATCCTCAGCCAAATTAGTTAGTCTTGGCCATTCCACCATTGATTTTATTTTTTTTGGATCTACTGATATACCTTCTCCACTAACAATGCGCCCCAATAATGAAATTTTCTTCTGCTAGAACTCTCATTTAGAAGATTTAGCAAATAATTAATATTGCCTTAATAATCCTAGAATAATTTTCAAATGATTTGCATGCTCTTCATTTTTCTTGGAATAAATCAAAATATCGTCGATAAAAACAATTACAAATTAATCAAGATATAATCTGAAAATTATATTCATCATATCCATTACTGCTGGGGTATTGGTTAATCCAAATGACATAACAAAAAATTCATAGTGCCCGTACCTAATACCAAAAGCTATTTTCTCAATATCTCCTTTTTTCACTTCAAATGATAACCAAATCACAAATCAAATTTGGAGAAAATAGAAGCACTTGCTAATTGATCGAATCAATCATCAATCTTAAGAGAGGGTACTTATTTTTAATGGTCACCTGATTTAGTTCTCTGTAATCAATACAGAGTCACGTCTAATCATTCTTCTTCTCGAAAAACAACATGGTGCACTCCAAGGAGATATGTTGGGTTTAATAAAGCTTTTTTCAATTAATTCTGCCAATTGACTTTTTAATTATTGTAATTCTTTGGTTGTCATTCTGTAAGGTGATTTTACAATTGGATTTTTTCCAGGTTGTGTTTTTATTAAAAATTCCACCTCTCTTTTTTGAGACATCGTTTCAATCGTTAGAAAAAATATTTATAAATTCATTCACAATAGGAATAGAATTTATCTCATAACTCACACATTTATTAGCTTCTAACTTTATTAAAAAAATTAATTCATCAACTCTTATACTTTTGTTCACTTGATTAGAAGTAATCAAAGATTAAATTACTCTTTTATCACACTGAAAATAAAATGACTTTTCTCCAAGCAAATCAAATCTAACTATTTTCTTCCAGCATTCAATACTAGCAAAGTATTAGACCAACCAATTCATTCCCAAAATTATTTTAAATTCTACTTAAGATGAGATTATTAAATATGATCTGAATTCCTTATCGACTATCATTATATTAATTAAACATGAAACACTGGCAATGAAATAATTGCCAGCAGGTAACTAAATACTTAGACTAAGAGTAAAAACAACAGGTTTCACATGTAATTTTTTACAAAATATCTCAGATATAAAGGATGTGATGCACCACAAAAAAAAAATTCTAGAAGGTAAATCTAAAATATGGATAGTACCGTGACCACTTTTGAAGATTGAGAAGTTAAAGCAAAAACTCGAGCAAGTGTAGATCTCACCACTTCTCCTGGTGCTTCTCCTTTTATCTTAAAAGCTGGTTGATTCATTTGTGACCTAACTTCCTTGTACTGATTTGTCTTCTGAATTCCTTTTAATTCAATGAATCTTAGAATATTTTTAGAACAATTTTTTTATGTCCTGGCTCCCCACACAGATAACATTTTCTTAAATTCGTTAAACATCTTCCTGGATGATATTTTCCATACTTTGAACAAGTTGGTATCACACGAAATCATGCAGGCTACTGTTGTTGACCTAGATGAAATTTCTGCCTTTTTTTATTAACAATCTATTTGATCAATTGGCCTCTTTTTGTTGTCAACCTCGCATTTATATTTTATCATATCCATATTATGCTTCAAAAGTCTAGCACTTTCAACCAGTTCAGTAAAATCTTTTATGCGAAGAGGAATTAAAGGTTGCATCACTGAATCTCTAAGACTCTTAATAAATCTATAACATTTTTTCAGCAGGAGTATTGATAAGCTGTGGAGCATACCTTAATGAAGATGTAAACTTTGATTCATATTGAATAACAGTTTTGGCTCCTTTATGTTGGAAAAAATCTCTTACATTGCCTATCTTGCTGAAGGAGGATCATATCACTCCCTAAAGATTTGTTCAAATTCATCCAAAGTAATTAGTTTTTTAGCTCTACTATTGAATTTTTTTAAATGTTGAGCTCTCTACCATCATTCTGCCTCACCTTCCAACTTTAAAATCACAAGGGATACATGCCTGTCCCCAAGGCATTCCATCCCATTCAAATTTTTCTCAATCCTGACCATTTAATCTTTAGCAGTTCGGGCATCTAATACTCCTTTAAATAAAGATGATTTTAAACTTTGAAGTTTGAAAGAGTTTTAAATATTTGTCTATTTCTACATTGACATGAACACCAACATCTGTATCTACACTGCTACCAAGAGTTGTATGAGTGATTGATATATCTATAGGTGGAATACATGGTGTAGCCGGTCCTGCCAGAGGCTGAATCTTTTCCATCATTTGCATTATCATGTTCATCATTTGCATTTGCATCAAATTTCTTGTCATTGCACTGGTATGGTTAGTGTACATTATCAACTCTATGTACTGCCTTCTACTGGTGCAATATTTTTAGGACCCTTAGGTATCTTGTCATGCTGTGATAATTGGCCATTAGTCCCCTCATGTGGTATTCATTTGGTTTCAAAATTTAGAACTTATATTTGCTTTGTCATGCTTCATACTTTCCTATAAGAATTCTATCTACTATATTGCTTGCAATAAAAGAATAAGTAGATATTACATAACTTAGTGCTTTCTTTCCAATATATGATCAATTAAGAAAACATTTATCCATTCATTATATATCTAATTTTAAGTATAAATAATTCAAATTCACATATGATTATTAATACTTTAATACTTGGCTATAAACATACCTTAGTAAAATCATTAACTTTAGCACATGTTTCCTTTTAATTTAGTCAATTACAAGTTTACATGTATAGAAATAAAAACATTTGCTTTTTAAATTGAATTTCATTGCTTACCTCCTTGACAGGTTTTCTCTTCAAATCTGACACCTCGACCCTTCTTCATTTATAAAGTACCTACAATTCACCTCTCTAATTCTATAATTTCCACAATTTATTATTCTAATAAATTGCATAAAATCAACTTATACTAACACATCAACTTACCTCAAAACCAGTTCCTTTTCTCCTTATGTACCAAACAATTACTGCATTTGAGCGAATCTTCCTTGGGAACTTTTATTACTATTTAGAATTCTGTAAAACAATTGGAGAAAATTAAATTGCTTACCTCAATTCCTTCTTGATCTTCTTCCTTCACTGAAAATTCTCTCTTCACTCACAGCAGTCCGTACTTCCACTACTGATAAGAAATTGCCGAATTACAATGCTTAGCCGCAAGAGGATTTCCTCTTTCCCACTAATATAGCTGCTTTCACCCAATTCAAATTCAAGGGCTCTGCTTCACTATGCTGATTTCCTCCTTGCGCTATGCCGTACTCTTCCCTGCTTTTTGACGAACCATTCTCTGCACTTTGCCGATCTCTTGTTAACAGTTTAACCGATTATTCCCAAACCTTTTGTTCCCTTGCTTGTGTGAAAACCCACTGGAAGAGAGGTCCCACACATAATAACTGCTCATCTATACTCTTCACAGCCAATGGATGCACATTTGCGGAACTAGGAAATATTTATTTGAATTCAACTTATTACTTAGTGTAAATGCTAAGATTTTACATAATAGTAATTAACTGTTAATATAAAATATAATTTTCTTAAATAAAATTTTATATTTATTTACCTAAATTTTTGGATATTACATTGATCTTCTCTGTTTTGGGCATGCAGCTTTGGGGACGCGCATGCAAATGTGCAGGCAATTTTAGCACAATACAAAACGGAGCCAGATTCTGATGCTCAACTGAAGTTGCTTTTACCCCATATAGCGTCATCATTTGGCATAGAAAAAACGGTATCTGAAATAATAGAAGAATTAAAGAAGCTAGAACTAAATACTGATGGGCAAGGTATGGAAACCTGGTTTGTTCTTCTGATGTTCTTTTAAATGATCTGATGACTTTCTGCTTTCCTGGTTTCTACTAATGCTGCAATGCCAAGGTTTTATCACCACGGATCCCTGCAGGGACTAAATCCTTTCCTCATCATCTTCCTTTCTATTTGAATTTGGCATAAAATATAATTTAATTCATTCATCTGGATATTTTTAGTTGGCGTTAAATCTGAGTTAGTATAACCTATTTAATTCTTTGGTGATCTCACATCTTTGCATTTTAGAGAGATTAATCGTCATGAAGTTTTGCAAACCGAAACAAACATCAATAGAAATCTTGTCTTTTTCTTTAGAAACTTTAACCCAATTTGTTGCAATAAGGCTGATGATATTGGTATTTTGCAGCCTCTGTCTTTGAAAATGTTATGTTTTAAATGCCTTGGATTATTTTGGTAAATATATATGCTCGTCAACATTCTGTTGATCCCTTTCAATTTTCTTTTTACTTTTTGTCAACTCTCAAATACTTGTTTCTTATCGGTCTTCCATTTCCTTCGTTGGATATAAAAAAAAAAAGTATTTTGTTTTGTTGGTTAAATGTCTAATTACCAACAATTTGAAGTTGTGATTCCATGCAGCATCCAAGTAATTTTGAACTAAATTAATTGCAACATAGATATATGTTGGCTGCAACCATTTTTCTTGTAGTTCTAATGTTTATTGGCTTTGTATGCGTTGTTGCAGTTTCTGAATGGGCCCATGATGCTCTTCAAGGACTTGGTAAAGGTGCACCTTTCTCTCTCTATTTGACTAAGAAACATTTCTCCGAAGTCGCATCTGCACACAGAAATGATGAGAATCATTTATCTAAAGTAATATAGCTCAACTATTTTATTTCTTTCTATGCCAAATGCTCTTTATTAAGTTGTTATACTTTATAGTGCTGCTCCCTGTGCAGCTTCATGGTGTAATGAAGACTGAATATCGAATAGCTCTGCGGTCTTCACTTCGACATGATTTTACTGAAGGTGTAAGAGCTGTTTTGGTAGACAAAGATCAGGTACACACAATCACTCCACCAACACCCTAACCCCACACTAAACTCTTTTATTAAATTGGTTAGCTCTTCTTTTTGTTTTCTTGAGTGTATTGGACAGATGATATATATATATATATATATATTACTCTCTCAGTCTTGTATGACATTTCTAGTCCTGCCAACTTTGGCAAAACAATGAATAATAGAAGAAATATCTTGATTATATTTTGAGATACGGTTCTATATTTCTAGGAAGTCGCGGGCAATCTGCAGACAGAACTACAACAGTATGAAAATTTCCTCTGGACAGCTGCTAGATTGACAGTAGCAAGGAGATTAGTGGCTGGAGGGAAGCTTGGTGGTTTGGGCTTTATGGGCAGCTGGCAATTGGAGGAGAGAAATTGGAGAGAGAAGGGAATTTGGAGTTGATTTCAATTGAATTTTATTGCAGAAAATTAACTTATTAGTACGGAATTACAACAAGAAAATAATTTGAATTATCCTTCTTTTCCTGAACCAACTCCCTCAAAGAAGGTAGCATACTCAATAATTCAGAAAAATCCTATCTTGAATTTAAAATTCCAAATACACCCTATCTTGAATTTAAAATTCCAAATACAACTTATGCTAAACAAATTTAAAATTCATCCATATCTTTTGTTTGTTGTCTAATAGGTCGGCCAATCATGCTTATCCTGTTTTTCTTATTGTCATTTAACGTTCTAGATTTTTGCCTCTCGATCTTGATTACTAGGATATTATCGATGATCTTAATGCATTGTGATAGGAAATACTTGAGTTCGCAAGTAACCCTAAGGTAATACTTGAGTTCGCAAGCAAACCTAACCCAAATCGGCACACAAATAGCGCAAAAACAGCGGAAATAGGGAAGAACTCGTAGGAAAACACTAGCGACGATTGTATTCCACTAGTAAGCAATCAAAACCAAAGCCCGATACAATGTTCTTCAATTCGAGAGGAAGAACAACTCTCCTACAATCTCCGGCAACGCCGAGAGCCCAAGCGAGAAAACCTAGAACCCAAAGTAATTTCAAAATGCAAGATGAAAAACCCCTCTCCTCATAACTCCCTATTTAATACACTCTAATTCAAATTAAAAGCAAAAGGACTTCTCTACCCTTCATTCTCCCTCCAAAAACAATTAATTTCAAATTGAAATCAATTGGACCCCACCCCGGTTCCCTCTCTCCCTTCCGCCTTCTTCCGTCGGGCATAAGCCCGGACCGGCTGGGCCGGTCCAGGATGAGCCGGTCCAGGCTGGACCGGCATAACACATTGTTGACCTCCACACAAGTCGGAAATCTTGCTCAAATCCTGCTTATATGCTATTCGGCGCCGCTCGTGTCTCCTCCTGGAAATCTTGTGCAAATCCCTCCAGCTCGCTCGATTCACGCTTCGATTTGCGTTAATAAATCTAGAACGAAGTCTCAGTTCATCCTTCTTGCTTCCACGCAAAAACATTCCTGCCGATTCCTCTTGTGCCTAACTCCTCATAAGCCAAGCAACTCCCGTCGCCTGCTATTCAATCTCGATCCTCCAGTTCAGCCACCACATCAACCTCCCAATCCAGCTCCCAACCCTTCGAATCCGATCCAGCCGCTCTTCGCTGACGCATGTGTCCTGTGTCCATCTCTTACAACCTCTGTCTACAGCCGACTCTTGTGCCTGATCCGACCTCCACAACATTCTCACTACCCATCACCTGCTTTTCCCTCTGTTTGATTGAGCCAATCGACTGATCCTTCCACCTCTGATCCCGCCGACTCCCTACCTCACTCTAAGAACTTCAACTGCACCGACAACCAAGGATGATTGAACCCAATCAAGTACTCATCCTTTCCCTTTCGATCAGCCTCAAGTCAGCCTGTCGACCACGACCCGAAACCTAGCCTTCCCTGTCGTCGACTCTCACCCCATCGGCCCGGCCTCTTCCTATCAAACCGTCAGTCACACTCTAAGCTATGCCCAACTTCGACCTTCAACCGTGCTCGATGACCCTATGTCGATCTTCTAGCGACACTCTTCATCCTATCATGCTGCAGGCAACCTCCCTTTATTTCATTCACTCCAACAACCCTTATACACTTCAACTCCGAAACAACAGCTCAACAGAGAAGAAAAATCTCTCCAATCCCTCCCTAATGACCTTATCTAATTATTATTATTATTATTATTATTATTCAATAAAAAAAGAGAGAAAAGAAGAGAAAAAAGTAAGAAAAAGGGTAAAGGAAAAAAAAAGGATAGAAAAACAAAAAAAGAGAAGTAATTTATGTGCTTTCATCTCCTTCGTCAGGCATAACTAAGGTATAATGACTTCTAAAGCTAAAAGAAGCTCCAAATCCTGTTTTCGATGCTTGCAACATGTCGGGATAGCTATACACGCTTTTCTTAGCATCATGGGAGGGAATATAGTGCAACTCTTATAGCGAGGCATATAAGCCCATACTTGTCAATGGCATAAAATGGCGCATGGCACGGCGCGGCGTACCTATGACGCTAATTGCATGGCGCGGCGCACATGCTCAAGGTTGCACGCCATTTGAGTCATGTGTGCGTAATGACGCACGTCATACCGTATGAACTTCAATAAATATCATAGCTTCTAATTCAGGCTCATCAAGTGAAAGATTAGTAATTCCTAATATTCTCATATCATCAAGAGACTCAAATCCATCTCGAAAATGAGAGAACCTTGCTCGCAACCCCGGAAGTAAATACGATGCGTCTTTTTTTTATTTCTTTTTGTTTTTCAACGGACACGCGTATCAGATACGCGTTTCCTTTTGAAATTAAATAGTATTTTAATTGGATACGGCTTTGGTGTATCCGACACGTATCGGTGGCGTATCGGAGGCGTATCCGTGTATCGGTGTATCGGATACAGCATGCCTTCATAAATAGGTGTACCGGTGCAATCTAGGTCATACGCAATTTGAATTTTAGGGATTTTTTAATATAATTATAAATATTTTTTAAGATTTATATATTTAAATTTCTAAAATAATGTCATAATTAATTTTAAAATTATTTGATATAATTAAAATATGTTTTGTTAGGTTTTATTAGACTTTATTTTAGTAAAAGTTTTGAATGAACTTGAAGCTCACTTTAATGGTTTGGATTTTGGACTACAAACATATTCAACTAAGCCTTACCCAACTTGATTGATACTTGAAATAGGATCCATATAATAATTTTTATAATTATTTTTTATTTTGCACCGTGTTCAAAATGGGGTGCGCCGCGCCGTACGCTATGCGCTATGCCTCAGGAAACTTTGCGCCGTGTTGTGCCATTCGCCATTGACAAGTATGTGTAAGTCTTGTGCACGCTTTTCTTAGCGTGGCGGGGTAAACCTAAGTATCAATGTACGAGCTTCTATTTATATGGGAAAAAGCTGCGGATTTTTACGCAAGTACCCCTAGAGACCCATACAAGCCTTTTTTGGCATGGTGAAATTGAAGACCATGGCCGCAATGTTGCACGACACTGACCATGCACATCTTTGTTGACGTAGTGGGCAGGTTAATACTCCCTAAAATTCCTTTAAATTTGGGCGATGCCAGGAGGATGCTGAAATTCAAACCACAAGGAACAAGACTTAAGCAAAATGACAAGGAACTAAACTTTCAAATTGAACTATAGGGAATTGGACATTAATTTGTTAAATACACAATCTAAAATAAAAAATAAAAAATGCCAAGTAATAACCCTTGGTTATGCAAATGAATGAATGAATAGGGGATGTGTGATAAATGTGGCAGAGCATTCATAAGGAAGTTGGAACAAATATAACCCGTCTGCAGTTAATATTAATTAACTTGCAAGCGAACGCATTAACCTCTTATAGGCGATGCTATGCAAGAACACCAACTTTTTCCAAGAAAAAAGGTTGGCAGGTAGTGAATGCTATGACTTGTTAACGAAGATATATTCCAGGATTTCAAAGTAAATGCATTTTACATGCAATTAGTGTCGCCTGATTGCAAAGAAACATGGAAACCTGCTCGTAGGCATGGAACTTGCCCGCGGCTAATAGCAGAAGGCTCGTAATGCATACAACGGTCCTGTCTACAAGCAATGATACTGAATGTATCGCAAGTATAATGAATCCTCTACAAATATAAGGATATTGCAATGAGTGTGACACACCATCTACAGGCACAAGAAATGAACTTGTGATGGATAAAAGGATCTACGAGCCATTGTAGGAGATTCATCATGTACACACCAGTCTGACTTCGAGCTAGGCTGATGAATTTTGAATGCTCGTTGAAGATCTATAAGTAAATTTAGCAAAGCTTGCAATGCACGACAGCTCGCCTATAAGAAGCAACGAGGGACCCATAGTGTAATGATACGACCCGCCTACAAGCAATGCTAGAAGATTCGCACTAAACATAGTTCACTTACATGGAATGGTTGGTGGCTTCTGAATGCCTAACAATACACTACAAGCAGTGTTAACAAAGCCTACACTTTGTGACAACCTACATGCATAAAGTAGCAAATGATCCATAACACAACACTACTATTCACCTGTAAGCAGAAGATGTGTGGTACAAACTCTAGGCTGCTAGTAAATTGCGTCAGTAAATTTGCAGCGCCAGTCTGTCACACCAGATAAATCAGCTTACCTGCAAACAATAGGTGGAATGCTCTGGATGCGTTGTGCAGCGTATTTGTCAGCTCCTACAGGATGAATACTGAGGAAAATGACAACATGAAGAAGGATGAAATGAGCTAAACTGCATTGCCGATGCATGACAAATGAAACTCAGTGCGCTGCTAAATAATGCCACCAGATGACGCAACATCCGTACAAGCGGACAGTAGGCATTGTAGGCTTTTAAATAAAATTTTGCAATTGATCATATTTGAATATTGAAAAAACATCTCATGCATTGAAATGCACACTAATGCATTCACATCATACATAAACACGTTGCAAAATACAAAACATATCATACAAGCATATTATCCAATATGTAAAGTAC